GCGGTTCATCTCCAAACCCGGGTTGGAACATGGGCCCTCCACCTCTCATACCGTGCAGCTGTGCGGGATCTTCCCTGAATCCCTCCCCGTCGTTCAAGGTCGCCTGCCAAAGAGACCGCAATGATGCGTTCCACTCCTGCAGTGCCCGCAACCGGTCCACGTCGCTAGCGCTTTCAACCTCCACAATCCCGTTTTCCTGGTCGATCTTGGCATTGAGCTTCTTGTCCAGGATCAGGAAGCTCAGGATGTCTTGTACCTCGGGTACCGAGACCCGGATGTGTTTCGAGATGAACTTAAGGGTGAATCGTGTGTACGGTGCGATCAGTTTGAGAACAGCCTTCGTCCGCATGTTTCGGCTGACCTCGTCAATATTCTCGGCGATGAAGGGATCGGCCAGGACGTCCGGGTTTTTGCTAAGGATGGCTTCGTAGGCGTGGATGTCGTCGCGTTGGAATGCATCGACTAGATCGGTCATAGCGGATATGCGGGGGTCGTTCTTGTACGGCTTGGTTTCTTGGGAATAAAATGGGTTGATATCCGATTTCATCAGCATCGTGGTCAACACGAGATACTTGAGCACCTGGATTCGCTGTATTGAGCCCGCCTCATCGTAGTTCCGGAATGACTCGAAGAAGTCGCTCTGCGCTTCCTCCCAGTTTTCCTCGCTCATATGCATTTTCCCTCCGCATTCTCGGATGATTCCCATGATCTTGGGGTGCGGCACCGCCGACCGAACGCGAAGGGCACGCTGGTAGAGCGCTTTTAGTCGTTTGTTATTCTTCGTCTCGGCATACATCTGTATCTCAAGGGCGTATAGTTCGAGGAGATATGTTCCTTTACTCGGATCGTCGGTTCCATCTTCTCGCTGGCATGCCCGATGCAACTCCCGCACCTTCTTGCTCAGCTGGCCGTACTCTTTTCGTTCCAGCCAAAGACGTGCCAACTTGATGTTTGTCTTCAACCATAGTCGCTCGTTGTTGGTATTTTGGAATGAGCGCAGGGTCAAAGAATAGAATTCCTCCATGCACTGGTAAGCTGTGTCATCATCCGAACCCTTCTCGATATAATCTAGCATGTTGTTGATGGACTTTTCGGAGTAATTACGAGTGACGGCCGACTTGACGTAAGTGAGGAGCTCTCTGTAGTGTTCAACGGCCTGAAGAGTCAGTATCACATCATCAGTGAGCCAAGGGGCGCTTACATCGCTATATCTCCCAAGCTTGAATTCCAACTTGATAGCCTGCTTCAGTCCTTTGAACCCCCTTGGCTACCGTCAGCACCTTGTCTGAACCATCACTGACGTCCACGCCTCTTACCAGTCACCCTTGTCTTGTTCTAGATCCGGAACTCCCAAGAATTCATCGATGGCCTCCTCCGGGTTGTCTATCTTCATCTGTTTGGCATTATAGTATTTGTTCTCGATACCGACATCTCCCGATTCGTCATCGTCCGCATCTTCGTACTCGAAGTCGTACCTGTGATAGTTCAGCTGATTAGCGGCCGCGAACACCGGCAGGTTGAAGGGACAACACAGGCTTACTCCTCATCACCCGAATCTTGCATGAAATCATCATCGTCAGACATTATGAACGAACTGAACCTCGCCGCAATTTGGGGTATCTAGAAATATCGAGAACAGAGAGGTAAACGAGGATCGACTGCGTGCTAGAAGACCGATGGAGATAAGAGATGGGAGAGGATGAAGGTGAGCGAGGAATGGAGAGCTTCCGCGCCTATCGGAGCCTGGGGCCAAAGTCTCGAAGTTCCCCGCCTTTGTAGCTTCCTCGCCGGGCCCGACCGAGACCACATTCTAAGTAGTATAATACAACCATCACTGGACTTGAGGCTTGTTTACTAACAGATATTGACTGTTAGTTATTCAAGTGACTGTCGGATCTATGATCTAGTTATCTACTTGACTTTTTCTACGCACGACAGCCAATGACCTTCCGCAATGATTGCCGCGGGCTTACTAGTACTACTACAGTATGCTTACTGTACTATATATATACTAAGTTCAATTCAGGTTCCATGACAACTGACCACCCACACTAACTAGTGCACTGTTGAGTCTAATATTACTGCCTGTTAGTGGCTCAGTGACAGGAACATGGACTCTGACACACTTAGTCAGACCAATTCGAGCTAGACTTGCATGCAATGATTCTAAATATAAAGCAAATCTGAGCAATTGGCGGCTGTCACAGCCTGAATCTGCGTGCTAAACCGACATCTAACTAAACTAACTAACCGCACCGCCTTAGGCAGGAAGGATGCGCTCACTCATATTACTATGGTGTGGGCTATAAGCAACTCCCTCCATGGTTCACTCAAACAGACACTGCCACTTTTACTGTGGAGGGCACACTCTACCCACAGTCAGAACTAACCATCTTTGCGGGTGAATTATTGCGAGGCGTGGCGAAGCGAACTCAGCGCTTCCCGACTTCCAGAGCGGCTCAGGCACTTGGCAGATGACGATCGTCTCTCATTTGCGGATCGCCCGTTGCAGGACGGAGCCGATGACATCGACCGGCCTCGCTGCACGGCGGCCCACGACTTATCTTCGTGTTCGCAACCACTTTTTTTCTTCTAGCCAGACCAGTCCCTCGTGAAACGCTATTCGTACCTATTAGCCCTTACTCCGCACACTTTATTTCTTTTCACTATCCCCTCATTCTGCTTGCCATCCTGCTCTTCGGTTGATCCCCTCCCCATCTAGCCCCTTCCCTCCCTTATCTACTTGGACCCTTTATTCCGCGCATCACGACACCCTCACCACTCCCAACTACCGTTACAATGAGTCTCTGTGGCCGTCAAAAGGTCGTTCGACGCAAGATGGTGCTATTGTCAGTTTAACCAAGCCTTGGCAGTTACATTTGATGGGCAGAATACTGATTCCAGATAAGAGGGGACGGCGCTTGCGGCAAGACCTCCGCTCTGAATGTCTTCACCAGAGGGTGGGCACCCCTTGTATTTTCCCTTGTGGCCAAGACCGCTAACTTTCTGGTAGATACTTTCCTACGGTCTAGTGAGGATGACCTTTCTGAACGCTAATTTCACGTTGCGATATTAATCTTTCCCACCTACATAGTGAGCCTACTGTATTCGGTGCGCATGCTCTTCCTTAGTCTATGATGATGATTATCTTGCTGACCGTTTTGCTTCCCAGAAAACTACGTGCATGGTAATTCCTCCTTCTTACAAAGACCGGGCTCGCATGCTTACGTTCGCTCAAGATATCTTCGTGGACAATGTACACATGGAATTGTCGCTATGGGATACGGCCGGCCAGGAAGAATTTGACCGACTGCGCGCGCTATCTTATGAGGACACACACGTGATTATGCTTTGTTTCAGCGTGAGAATTCCCGCTCCTCGAGGTCTGGACCAGAGGTTGACTCCTACTAGGTTGACAGTCGCGATTCGTTCGAGAACGTGGCGAGCAAATGGATAGAAGAGATCTCGGAGAACTGCGCCGGCGTCAAATTGGTGCTCACTGCCCTCAAGTGTGATTTGAGGAAGGACGAGTTCCTCAACGACAACCCGAACGCGATCACCTACGAAGAAGGACTGGCGAAAGCCAAGGAAATTGGTGCCGTGAAATACCTGGGTAAGGACGACTCCTATCCCCGTGATGTCATTCGTGTAATGATTCCTGACAACCCTGGCAGAGTGCTCCGCCGTGCAAAATCGTGGTATCATGGAAACATTCTACGAAGCTGCAAAGGTCGCCCTGGAAGTCAAAACTCAGGGCTCGAATGGATCCGGCGAACGGTGTGTCATTCTGTAGACATGCCGCTGGCCATCCTTTATGACTTGTCGACTATTGCATTGCTCTGTTCTTATACCCTTCTACCTGCTTGCTCTTCAGCCATTGAGCTGGATCATTTGCTGTGACCTTTCCGACCAGGGAAATGCCCTGGTTTTCCCTTCACTGGCATCGAGCTATCATTTCCTGGGCGTTTCAGCCTGTCATGCCTCGTTTTGTTCTCTTCTCTATATATACTTGTTGGACCCCTTGTTGTAATCCTGTATACCTAATGTTTGCTCTGTGGCTACCTTCCAGAAAAGCGTGCCAGTCGAAACACCCATGGCTGCTTATCTATATTGCATCACTCGCTTTGGTCGATCTCCGCATCGACCATTTTGGTATAGACTATGCAAATGTACCATTGATAATGAATACGCCGTATCTCGCATACTCGAGAACTCTCTTTCAACACCTAGTCAATCGTACCCTCCCCCAACGTAAGAGAGTCTATAAATGCTCACTCCCTCAACAAATCCTTCTCACTCACCCTATACACCTCCTCGATCCCCTCCCCGGTAGCCCCATCCCCACAGGCAAAATCCCCATTTACCCTCCCAACAAACTTCCCCACAAACATCCCCGCGACCTCCTCAACCGTTACCCCTGTCACCCCCAGCCCCTGCAAACTCGTCGTCTCCCTCCCCTCTAACCCACACGCCACAATCTGTCGAAACCACCACATCGGCTCCTCCGTCACATTCAACCCAATCCCATAACTACTAATATGTCTCCTGAGATGTACCCCCACGGCCGTGATTTTCTTCGGCAGCTCGCCCTTCCCCCCACCAGCCCCTCCCCCCTGTTTCTGTCCATGGGTATCATGCACCCAAACCCCCGGATCCTCCGTAACCATCCCCCTCACCCCATACTCCCTCAACACATCAATCACACTATTCTCCAACAACCGTATATGGCACCGCGGGGTGAGTCCCAATCGCCGTAGATCGAGAATCGTGTACGCGACTAGTTGGCCCGGTCCGTGGTAGGTCGTTTGTCCGCCGCGCAGGGTGGGGTGGTATTCTGCTATCCGGGATTTGGGGTCGTAGGGTTTGTTGGGTTGCGGGGGCGTTAGGATCTGGCGGATTGGTTCGAGGCTCGGCGGGAGGGAGAGTATGTTGCCATTGCCATTGCTGTTGCTGTGGGTGGTGTTGGAGGGAGGGAGGTCGCGGCGTCCGGTCGTGTAGACTGGGTTCGGGCTGAAGGTTATTATGGTTGGGTCGGGGGGGTTCGGGGTGAGGTGCTTTTTGTGCGAGAGGAGCCGGCTTGTCAGTGTTTGTTGGAGGTTGGCGACGCGGGTGAAGGAGGTTATGTCCGGGAGGTGGAGGTGGGCGAGGCGCATTTTGAATCTTTTTCTTTTTTTTTTTTATAGAGGGCTAGTTTGTAGGTTGGGGACGGTGGTGGTTAGTAGGGTTGGTGGTGTATTTGCATTGTATTCCGAGGAAGGAGTTTAGAGAAGGTAGTGAGTGAGGGAGGGATTGGGTTCAAGATGTTAGACGGTCAGTTCGTGTGAATTTCATGGAGCTTGCGGTCCGATAAGATTGAACGTCACTGACTCCCCCGGATCGTGTCATGTGATGATGAACGCAATTCCGATCTCAATTTCGTGCTTTGCTTTCACTCTCCCCAGAGCTTAATTTGAGATTGAGTTTGCATGTAGCTTTCAATTTTCTATGTACAGCAGCGGATACTTCCATATTCGTCCAGGAGCATGACTGCGAGATCGTGTCTGCAGAGATCTTCAGGAACCGAGTCCGCCGAAACCTTCCGATGACTGACTGACTGGAGCTAGGCTTGCTTGCAATTTCCCAAAATGTTATTTCCACTCATAGACTATGATTTACAGAATAGAACAGATTCGAGCAAGCATTACACGGGAGCAATACCATTAACCATCGTTCCCTCCGTGCCCTCCCCCTCCGATACCAACTGCCAATCCCTCACGCCACCCTTCCAGTCTGCGATACGGCCCTCGCGCACCTGAACGGTTACGACGCGGACATCGCTGTCAATTGAAATACTGGGCCTTCTTTGACCGGGTTGCTGTTGCAGCTGCTGCCCGAAAGTGCCCAGCTCTTCCTCGAAGGTGTTGTTCTCCAAGTGTTGTCTCTTGCACCAAGCCTCCTCTTCAGAGCCAGGCTCCAGAAAGCGCGCGGTACCGGCGATAGTTGTGGAGATACTGGAAAGGGCACTTGTGTTCAGGTTCAACAGCAGGCTCGCCAAGGATGACCGTGTCGCTGCAGGTGGGGGAGACCCTTCGCGACCATCGGGATTGGGAGCCCGGGTAGGCGGACGGTGCGAAACCCAGTCATGGACCAAAAGGGACACGCAAGGGTTGGTGAGCAGATGGTTGGTTTTGCGAGAGGAGGGGTTGGTGGTCATGATGATCGTCGGATACGGGTCATAGGGAGTCGAGGGGAGGTAGGTGTAGGACATGAGCGAGATGTGCGGGGTCAAGCCATCACATGTTGCAAGATGAAGCTGGCGACGTAAAGGATCAGCTTTTAAGCCTGACAACCATACAGGGCTATAGAATTCGCAATACTCACGAATCGAGAATTCTTCAGACATGAGATCACCTCCGTTGGGAGGGTGGTTCCGACGTGCGGATGAGTAGTTGTGGCTGATGCCTCGTACGAGAGGGGAGGGTTCATAGAATCCGCCATAGTGTAGGACACGGAGAAAATATGTCCAGAGCCTAGATCAAGAAGTGCTGGGTGTCAAGTGTAGCAAAATGCGCCTGGACTCTTGCCGAGTCAACGAGCTCTCAGGTAGGACAGTTCACAGTCAGTAGCAGTGGCGGGCCAGGCTGGAGGGGTGTGACCGGCAACAAGAGGAGCTACCGGATTGGGGTCTACGGAGCTAGTCCTGTTTAGGACTAGCCATCCGGGCCCGGATCACCGCGCGGCTCGCTTCTGATTACATAAGAGACAGCTCCGGTCACGACGTCATCGGTGCTGGGAGCTACGCCTGAGGCGGTGATGGATGCTGCCACGACAATCGACTCGTCTACCGAAAGACCCGGTGAGATATAGGCAATTGACGAGCCGTTACCAATCGGGTTGAAGGTTTTAATGAAGATAACCTCATGTCCCGTTATCATGTCCGTCGTTGTGAACGCGGAGGAAAGGAAGCAAGACCGCTTTCGTCATGGTCTCGGAGATGCAGTGCCAGGCAACGAAGATCGGCCTAGACAAAAAGGAATGGACAAATCATGAGGAATGTCTATCTCGGGGACTACACATCATCCACAGAAGAAAACAAGAGCTGTATCAGCACAATGGGATTAGTACACTAGGGCTGGGATTGGTGATCGGCCCTTATATAAGGCAGGCCCCAGCTCATGTACATTGGCAGCAAGCCGAGGACAGAGAGAGAGCACAGCCTAGTTACGTTATTTAGCAGAACAGACAAGAACAGACACACGCTTGTTTCCCCGCACTTTTTTCCAGTTTGATGAGCAAGTGACGCCTTTTTCCCCAGCTTCCCACTTGTGCCGTCCGGAAGTACCTTAACCACTCAACTTCCTTCCTTTTCTCTCTCCCTCTCTCTCTTTTCCTCTCACTCTTCCCTCCCCCCATTCACTCTCCACACTCGCCCTCCATTGGTTCTATTCGATTGTCACCTAATATCCTACATACCCGTGGCTGTTAACCGATAACCGTCATTGGGGATTATTACTTCTCCGCCCAACAATTCGACCCTCCTCTTTGCTGATCCTGGACTCTGGAAGCTTGCGACGTGACTGGTTCCGTGGACTCCTGCTGCAGTGCGCCTTCCTTTCAGCCGTCGGTCAGGTCGTTGTAACGCATCGCGTGTCTTCCTACCTCTCCCATCCCTGCCCTTACCTGCTGTCTCAGTTACTCTTCCTATTTCCTACATCTACTTCCCCTCTCCTGTCGGTAAACCCCTCTTCTCTTGTGTCGCCTTTCGCAGTCTGATCGCTGTCGTTGGGCTCCTCTTCTGTATTGCTGTCAACCCAACACACGTCCCTCGATCCTTCATTTACATCCCTCCCGTTTCTTGCCCGACCACCCGGTCCTGTCACTATTTTGTGAAGAATCTCCCCACTGTATCCCCTTGCCTCAAATCGCATCCGTTTCTGTATAGCTAAATCAGCTCCCTACGGAATCATGCTCGCCCCCCGCCTGTTGCGGCCGGCATCTTCGCTGGTTCGCCCCTTCAGTTCCACTGCCACTGCCTCCCGCGCCCCCTCTATCCGTGACATCACCCCCGACTCGGCTGTTGAGTTTAACGCACGTCAGAAGGAGTTCCGCGAGAACCTGGAGGTTGCTCGCAAGAAGAGAGAACAGCAAGAGAGTCAGTCTGTCGATGCTTCTGGTTCTACCTCTGCCCCATCCCCTGCATCCCGTGACCGCCTTCGTGAGTACGCTACCGCTCCCACTGCTCCGAGTGAGAGCAATGCGAGCAGTAACAAACATCCCGTTTTTGATGCCGCTGAAGTTCTTGATAATAAGGCTTTGGGCTCACTTTCTACCCACCGTATTATAGGAGACGAGCAGCTGCAGGAAGCCAGTCAGTCTCCGAAGCGCGGCCCCCTGTCGTCGCTCATCTACGGAACCAAGGAAGGCCAGCAGCTGGACAGAGATATCGAACGGTCATTCTCGCAGGTTCTCGCCCGTGGAAAATACGTACATTCCATCGTCTTTCACGACGTGAAGCCCGATAAAGTTGACGACTATGTGAACCTCGTCGGCCAGTGGTACCCTCGCATGGCTGCCGACCCCGAGAACCGGGTAAATTTGGTTGGCAGCTGGCGCACGCAGGTTGGAGATAATGACACTTTTGGTACTTTAAATTGACGCGCCCATCCAGTTCTTCACTATTGCTGAGAATGCCTCTGTTACTGTGGATGCTAACGGTTCTTGCAGTTCACATCTGGGAATATCAGCGATATGAAGGCTACCATGCTTCCCTTCACAACATCTCCTGTCACCCCGAATTCCCCGAATTTGACCGGCAGTTGAAGGGCTTGATCAAGAGCAAGAAAACGTCGCTGATGCAGGAATTCTCTTTCTGGCCCACGACGCCTCCGCGGCGCCTGGGCGGCCTCTTTGAGCTCCGATCATATACCCTTCATCCCGGGAATCTTCTGGAGTGGGAAACACACTGGCGTCGTGGCCTCAAGGCTCGCCGGGAGGTGATGGAGGGTGTTGGAGCGTGGTTTGTTCAGATCGGGGACCTGAACACCGTGCACCATCTCTGGCAGTTTGCGAATCTCGAAGAGCGGAAAGTCCGCCGGGAACAATCCTGGGGTATCGAAGGCTGGGCGGAAACTGTCCACAAGACGGTGCCACTCATCCAGACTATGCAGAGTCGGATCCTGATCCCCATGCCCTGGAGTCCTGTTGGCTAAGCCGGTTCACCTCGACGATCATCACATGGTCTTGATCACGGGATGAGTTCTCCAGGACCCGGGCATACGGAGCCAAGCCCGATGACTTGTGTTCCTCAACGGTCCGAGCGCCAATGAGCAGAGAGGGAATAGGAAGTATGGAGGATAAATAGGAGACCAATCAAGGATGGAGCGACTCAGCCCTGTCTATTGTTGCAGCGAATGCCGAATCATGAGGCCTTCGAGCCATATGGGGTAGTGTACACACTCGGCACGCAGCTCATTGTTCCTCTCAGGAGCCGGCCTTGGTTCCCTTCATGTATCGTATCTAGCATTAGCATACCTATGTTCAAACTGACACACATTTTCTTGTATCTGCTATCTACTATCCTGCTCTCCCGCTCATCTCCAAGCTATCTGCAAAGTCGAAGACCAGCTGTTGTAAACAAAGTTGATCCATGGCCCCGCTTGACTGTTCTAGCGTATCCTGCGCGACTCCGCTTTGTCGTCGACTAAATTCATTTCCGTCATGGCAAGCTGCCTCGGTCGTCGCGCGACTCAGCACACTGGCTGCTGGTGTGCTGGCGCCCCCCACCTGTCCCACGACGATCACAGACGGGCTTCCGTAGCAGACTGGTCGTTGGAAATGAGGAGACGTTGGCGCGGTCTTGTCTCCTCCGTCCGAGGTAACCCAGCAAATGAAAAGCAGCACTGCACGTGGGTATTCCGCGGAAATCCACCTGGTCCTTCGACGCTGTGCGGTGGGATTCTTCGCAGCGCCTAAACTCGTCGAAAGTTCTTGGCCGTCGAAGAGAAGAGGGACCGCCTCGATACGGCTCCCTCACTGGCTTTTTGGCTCCCCGCGTCCGCCCTCCCGTCTTTGCCTTTGCCTGGACTTTTCCGCCGGCAGAAAAAAAAGTTACTAGAAAATTCAAGGCCGGAAAAAAAGCGACAGACATCAACAAGCAAGCACCCACTTCTCTCTTCCTCGCCGCGTTGCTTTTTCTTCTTTTATTCTCCCCACTCGCGCTACTTTATCTTCTTCTTCTTTTTCTTCGTCTCTTTTTTTTCTTTTTCTTCTTATACTTCGACCGTGTCCTTATACCAGCTTCATCCTTAATCTTTAGCAACCCTTTCTCCGCTCCCCTGGCCCTGGTTCGCCTTTTCCGGCCCTTGTTTCCTTACTACTTTACCGCGCGGCATCTGCAATTCTGGCATCAACTCCAGCCCGCTTTCGGCTTGACCTTCCTCGCGTCAAAGATTCAAGAGACCATCTACGTCCAAGCATTTTGACTATCTAGATTTACAGGCCGTATTGCTCGCTGTAGCTCAGGCCCCTTGTGACCAACAGGCAACATGGTGTACATCCGCCAGCATCAACTACCCAAGCTGCGGGAATACCGTTATGCAGGAGTCGATCTTTCGCTTGTTAGCCGCTATGTCCTCAAGCCGTTCTATAATAACTTCGTGATCAAGTTCTTCCCTATGAGCATGGCGTAAGTGACGATACTGGCTTGTTTCGTCCTCTAGTTTTATTCTCGTCTGGCTAACAGCCTTTGTTTCCCCCCCGGTCTTAGTCCTAATGCCGTAAGTCATCTTAGCCCTGGACTGGCCCTGCTGCGACAAAGACCAATAACTGAGGACCGGTAGATTACCCTGACTGGGTTCTTCTTTGTGGTAGTCAACTTCTTCACCATTCTCTGGTACAACCCGACTCTAGACCAGGACTGCCCGCCCTGGGTCTATGCCAGTTGCGCCATCGGGTTGTTCCTTTACCAGACGTTTGACGGCGTAGACGGCATCCAAGCGTACGAACTGCCCCTTGCGCCCCATTTCTGATGTGATTATCTTGTCCGCTGGTAGACTGCATGCTAAATCTGATCTTGCAGGCGGAGAACCAAGCAGAGCGGTCCTCTGGGTGAACTGTTTGATCACAGTAAGTTAGATGGGTCGGCCTTGACCACTTACAATGTCGGACCGGGAATTAAGCTTCGCCTGCAGGTGTCGATGCATGCAACACGGCCTTGGGAGTCTTGATCTTCGCGGCCGCTATGAACCTTGGCCAATCTTGGGCAACGGTGTTGACCCTTTTCGGATGTAGGTGGCTCTTCGGCCAAGTCCCATGAGCACAGTGCAGTGCTGATAAGATGCAGCGACTATGACCTTTTACGTCCAGACATGGGATGAATACTACACCCAGGTGTTGACCTTGGGAATCATCTCAGGCCCCGTCGAGGGTGTCCTGACTCTCTGCGTCGTGTTTGGCTTTACGGCCTACATGGGCGGTGGCAGCTTCTGGCATCGCTCCATGCTGGAGACCGTTGGAGTTCCCAAGTTCGCCTTCATTCCCGAGCACATCTACGATATGGCCTTTACGCAGTGGTATCTCGTCTACGGCGGAGTTCTCCTCTTCTTCGCCATTGCTTCCAGCATTGTGCACGTCATGCAGGTGCGCCGTGAGCGTGGTCAGGACCCAATCAAGCCCCTTTATGGCTTGCTCCCTCTGGTCGCGGTGTGGACTCTCGTGCCGGCTTATCTCTACCTACAACCCACCATCCTGGAGAACTACATGGTCCCGTTCTGCCTGTATGTCGGCATGATCAATGCATATGCCGTGGGAAGGATGATCTGCGCGCACCTGGTCAAAGCCAGCTTCCCTTACTTCAACATGCTCCTGATTCCCCTTGCTTTGGCGGTGCTTGACAGTGCCGGTGCGGTCTTTGGGTACTGGCCGAGTGTGCTGGGCGATGGTGTGAGACAGATTGCTTTCGTCTGGGTGTGCTTGGGTCTGTCGATCGGCGTTTACGGCAGCTTCGTGGTAAGTGTAATAATTGACCATTAGAGGGCGAGACGCTAATTGAAAACAGCACGACATCATCACGACGATATGTGACTATATCGACATCTGGTGCTTGACGATCAAGCACCCGCACGTGGAAGTGGTGACCGCCAATGGAGATGCGAAGAAGTTGAACTAATGAGGTTGCGAATGATGGCGGTGAGGGTACGAAAGAATGGAGTCAAAGGTGGAGAACGTCGAATCGCATAAGACGGTAGACGGTAGATTAATTGGACGGAAAAGCCGTTCGTGCATCCTGGCCTTGCGCTATCAGGAGCATTGGAACCGAGTCGCAAGTCGTCCGGTGTCTGAATGGCAGGCACATGTCACCGGACCGGAAAACGTATGTCATGGCCGTATCTAAGCAGCGTATATTGGATTAGCGATAGAAAATGTATTTGTATGAGATTAGCAGTCTGCCGAGTGGCGACAATGCGTCAACCACCGTAATCGATCTGCCCGTCCGAGTAGCAGGTAAATAGATAGTAGTACAAAGTAAGAAAGGGAGCTCCATCGAAGGACCTTGGAGCATCTAGCAGCATCTGGCGGCTGATATAAGCAGCCCGTGATTGGTGGAGAAGGCATCAGCCACAGGGGCCACTGCCGGGCGGTGGCAAAAGTGCTTGTTCGGGCAGTATTAGCGAGAGGGTTGCAACCCTATGCGCCCCCAAACGGGCCGCCGTGGGTGACGCCGTCGAGAATTCCCTTCAGCGCTCGCCATCTCCACGAGACCACCTTTTTGCTTTCACCCTCAAGCAGGCCATCTCCATCAGCGCTACATTCAACTCCCTTCGCTGATCGACTTTTTGTCTCGTCAAGATGGTACGTTCTACCCCTTCGATGCCATCCCACAACCTGCCCGACATATCTCCCTGCATGTTTGCATAGAAATGGCTGTCGCCGCTAGCCATCAGTGCACCCCGTCGTCGCCACCATCCCGTCGCCGCAGGCATCTCGAAATTTTCATCGAAAGGAAAGGAAGAATGTTGAACTGACGGATATCCCTTCGAAATAGGTTCTCGCGGTCGACCTCCTCAACCCCGCGCCTCAGGCTGAGGCCCGCAAGCACAAGCTCAAGGTATGAACAATCCGTATCGGGAAAAAAGTGATAGATAAGAAAGGGAAGGGAATGGGTTGGCTGATATCGGTTATTACTTCGACAGACCCTTGTGCCTGCTCCCCGCTCCTTCTTCATGGACGTCAAGTGCCCCGGCTGCTTCACCATCACCACCGTCTTCTCCCACGCCCAGACCGTCGTCGTCTGCGCTGGTTGCTCGACCGTTCTGTGCCAGCCCACCGGTGGTAAGGCCCGTCTCACTGAGGGCTGCTCTTTCCGCCGCAAGTAAACGTCTCGACCCAACCGTGCCGGAGCGATTATGAAAGCAATGTGGCGTTCTTCAATGATGATGGATTAATATATCTCGTTTTTCTGAGGAAACAGATTCAGATAGAAGATGGAATCCTCGCCCCTTGCGAGAAAGCCCTGCGGAACCACACAGACAAGGGAAATGAAAAAAATTTTTGACCAGGCACAGAACCTCGTTTTTGATACACCTTTTCAAAAAAAGCGTTTACTACTTTTTATCTTCCTACATCTCTGCGCAGGGGAGTTCCGGATATCTGGCACATGATCGGTCCATACTACCAAAAACTACTCTTGCCTTATATCTTGCTCTTGAGTTTTTCGCTTGATGATTTTTTACTATTCGCCAACTTGTGTTCCTTGTACCTACGACGGATGTACCTCGAACAGGGGCACGATGGGGAAGAATCATACAACGCCACCAGTCACGTCTGCACATGCGCTTCTGCCGGTTGCCGCAGGAATTCGGATATTGCGGAAGGAGGAAAAACAGATTTCATCGTGGAAGATGAATGATGGCGGCTCCGGTATTGTGCGCAGCGGCGTGACTGGCTGCAGGAGCCGGTTACTAGGTCTGAGAGGACGGTGCCGGCCCTGCAGAGTTGTGATACCCTCGTGCGGTAGCAATCGTATGTTTTATTTGGTCAGTATGGACATCAGGTTGTAACAGTAGCCCGGTAGCCCAGTAGCCCCTCGAAATGCGTAGATCTGGCCCGCACCTCCGCAATGCTGAAGCTGGGGTCACCGAGTGCCCTTGCATCTAGACTCATCCAACGATCCCGGCCCATGTATATAAGTGTCACCCCTTGGACCGTAGACATAACCCTCAACAACGTCTAACTGATCAACAACTAGACATAAATCAAAGAAGTCCCTACCTTATATCTATCCTACAATCCACTTTAAGCCCATCCCCATACCGTAGACAGGAATATACCCCAACCAACTAAACCACCCATCCACCCCGCTTATCTTATCTCCTCTCATCCTCCCTCCCACTAGTACTTTTTCTCTCCCCGACATCCATCGTCCTCAATACACTACTCCCATATATTACTTCTCCTATTACACTCTTTTCTACCCCCAACACCACCCCCTTCACACAAAGAAACCAAAGTTCCCAGTCAAAGAGAAATAAAAAAAAAATCATGCCCCCCCTCAAACTCCTCTGCCTCCACGGCTACACGCAATCCGGCACCCTCTTCCACGCCAAATCCCGCGCCGTCATAAAACACCTCACCAAGACCCTCCTTCCCACGACCGGCTACACAATCACAACCACCTACCCAACCGGTCCCATCCACCTCCTCCCCTCCGATATCCCGGGCTACGAACCATCCACAAACCAAGGCGGCACCAACGATGAACCAACAGAAGCCTACGGCTGGTTCCGGCGCTCCTCCACCGCGAACCCACCCCTTTATACAGACCTGCATTTAGGACTAGAGACGATCGCCAACGTCATCAAGACCGAGGGGCCGTTCGACGGCGTAGTGGGGTTCTCGCAGGGCGCAGCGATGGCGGCGATTGTGGCGGCGTTGTTGGAGCCCGGGAGAGAGGAGGTTATGAATAAGTTTGCGAGCGAGGGGAGTGTGTTTGAGGAAACGGGGGAGAATGTGAAGGGCTTTGAGGTGCCGAGTGTGTGGTGGGAGAATGTGAGGAGTGTAGGGCAGGCGCCGTTGAAGTTCGCGGTTTGTTATAGTGGGTTTAGGGCGCCGGGGCCGAGGTATAGAGGGTTTTATGAGGGTGGGGTGAAGACGCCCGTGTTGCATGTTTTGGGGTCGTTGGATGCGGTAGTCGATGAGGGGAGGAGTAAGGCGTTGGTGGAGGTTTGTGATGCGAAGGATGTGGAGGGGAGAGTGGTGGTGCATCCCGGGGGCCATTTTGTGCCGGCGCAGAGGCCGTATCTTGATGCTGTGGTAGGGTTTGTGAGGGGCGTTGTTGGGGATTTCAATGGAAATGGGGGAAAGAAGGAGAAGGAGGAAGTGGATGTTAATGAGATGGAGCTGCCTTTCTAGAATATAGATAGAGTAGATTAGTTGCATAGAGGAATGCAATGTATGTATATGACGATGTCATTATTGTCCCATTCTACTTCATCAGTGTATATCTGCGGTTCTGCTACTCAGTAATCTACCGGGCCTTGCCCTTCTCTCGCGTGGGAAGGATCCGCGCCATCATCTCCTCCTTCGTGATCAGATGGTCGATCCGCTCCAGCAGCCCCAGAAGGCTCTTCATGTCGCTGCTCCATTCGTTCAGCACGTCGTCGGCATCGCGCGGCTTGGCGAAGTTGACCAGTCGGGCTGGACGGTCGATCTTGGCGTAGATTGTCTTCGAGCAGACCAGCTCGCTGATGTACTTCTCCGTTTCCTCCTCCGTCAGGTCCAACAGTTCGGTCAACCGGCCCATCTGGATACGTGTGTAGTACTTGGCCACCACCCGCACGTTATGCTCGATCACGCGCTTGCGGAGGTCCTGCCACCTCCGGTGCGCCTGGTCCTCGACCGATTGGCTGGGCTGAGGGCTGAAGACATCCGTGTTGCAGAGGTGAGGGCCGAATTGTTCGCCCACCATCGGCCAGCGCATCAGCTCGTGGATGGTGAAGAGCTTCACTAGCCGGCCTTCAACTGGGACGAGAGAGAGCCGCGAGTCTTGCTGAATGCGGTGCAGCAGATCCGACTGCTCGTTATCGTAGGGAGACAAGACGATATAGTAGACAATTCTAGCGAGAACCTAGACGATGTCAGCTTGAAGGTACTAATTAACCACCCAAGGTAAACTTACGGCGCGAAGTTGCTCCGGGTTGTTCTCCACCGACTCCGTATCCAGCACTTCCCGGTAGTGTTTGCAAACATCCAGGTATTTGTAGTCGTGGTTGGCGAGGATAATCTGTTGTTCGTAGTAGCGAAGCTTCAAGTCGGTCACGTCATCGTCCACCTCCATTGGTGCCTCATCCGGGCTACGAGTCTTCTCCTTCTCTTCGGCTTCCTTCTTCAGCTTCTCAATTTCCTCCGGGCTCTTCTTCGGCTTGCGGTTGAAGTATCTCTTGTTGATCTTGCGGCTGAGGATGGTGGCCTGTGTCCAGTCGCCCCGTTCTATGCAGAGAGCAACCTGCTCCAGGATGAACTCTGTCTTCTCCCGTCTGGTCATGGAACCGAATGTTTCGACTTGCAACTCGCAAAGAATATCGGCGGCGGCATTAAGGTCGCCTTGGGTCTTTTTGATATTGGAAAGGATGCGGGTAACACGGGCTCTCTCGACTTCGACGAAGATCTATATAGACGCGCATCAGCATGATGCGGAGCTGACTAGGTGGTTATTGCACTGACCTTGCCCTCAGTCACAGTCCGCAGCGTGTGAATGACAGACAGCTTGACCTCCAAGTTCGGCGTCTCATCCAGGAATCCCATCACCGTCTGGACCATCTTCGTTACGGCCTGCTTGAGCTGGCCATGCTTCTTGGATAGCAGGAGGACCTGGTCGTTCAGCAAGTTCCAGTCTGCCGAGTTTTTGCTGATTGTGACGATGGTGATAAGGACGCGCGATGTCGTGGCAAGATCCGAAGCCTGTAGGATGGGTAAGAATTGCGTTGTCGCCAGACAGACGAAGGAAGGACCATACTTGTCTTGCTTGCTTCTCCAATACAAGGAGCTTGTCAATGGCACCCTGAACATCGGTCTGTTGACGGTCAGTAAGTTACGTTTGCAGAAATAAAGGAAGAGCTCCGACCTTAGCAAGCTGCTCAGCCTCGGGGATCAGCTTGTCAGCATCCTTGGAGAAGTCCTTCTCCGGCTTCAACAGGGTTTCGGACATGGTGACGGAGGAGCGTCACAGCAGGGTATAATTCAAATTTGGCGGGTATCAACCTGTAGAAGATATAGAAGGATGCAAGATATGGGAGGGATTATTGGGAGAAGATGGAAGCCTGGGGAATGATGAAAGATGAATGGAAGCATGGACTGGATCGGAGCTCTGACGTGCAGCTCGAGCTGGCGGCAGCTTTATCACGTGATATACACCACTGCAGCAACTTGGACCAGATCAACATCTTTCAAGAATGCTAATATACAGTAGACGTGTTTCTTCATCTCTCAATGAAACTAACCTCGCAGCCGGTATGGTTCTATTCCTATTGAAACCAATCCACAAATACTACATCTGGTTGTCTACAACGATGAGTGTGACACTCCCGGCCACTACCACACACTATCGGGCCAATGTTTTGGTTACTACTAACTTAGGAGAAGCACACGAGACCACCACGAACCATCCAGCACTTTGATCCAGGTATAGAACTGACCTGGTTTCCATCAGTGCAAGCTCCCCGGCTCTGGCAAGAGTATCAGGCACCAAATCTTCGCAATGAATTATATCATTATCCATACTCGCTCCTAAAGACATGGGCACGAGTCACGCCCGTTGTGGAAATGATTCTTTAGCTAATCTCGACTACTACTCTGCTCTGCCATATATCATGACCAAAGTACAAGGCATCGAACAGTCCTTTGCTATGGGTGCCACTGATATCAGGCACCATACTGAATCGCCCAATCCGGGGTCGGCTTATCTAAGCCACTGCATGCGATCACGCAATATCACCTTAACCCCATCAGGAAATGCATCTATAAATTTCCCAGAGGCAAAATGACTGCAATCCCGCTGGTTTCCTGTGGTGACTCAGTTTATTAATCGCTGTGATACGCTTATCGACCTGGCAGACGTGCTGACTGGAGAGCGTGGTTCTTATCTGCAATCGTTGCTCATCAGCTGGCTTTTCCGCGGAGTTGAAGAGTCTGGAAACTTAATCGACTGGCTACTTCGCTTTGTGGGATGCAAGCATAAATCGACTTGGGTCGTCCAATTCAGGGTCTTGTTTGCTCTTAGTACTAGCACCTTTTTTTCGACAAAACGAAGTTCAAGCAAATATTGAAGGTTAGACCGCAAGACCCCGCGGTGGCAATTCAAACATGAAGGACGCCTCAGATAGTGGTGTTCCGGCACCTCTACTGACAGCCGTGAACGTCGAGTCTCACGTCCATCTGATCATCGGGGCCAACCCTCTTGCAGCAGCCCGTTGTGCAAAAAGCACTGAAGCTGGCGCAAAGCCGATTCTCATCTCCCCGGACACAGAGGGCCTGCAGTACACGTTGGTCGAACGGATTGAGAACGGCTCTGTGAAGTGGATCCGCAGAGAGTTCCAAGATGAGGATCTTACGAGCCTAGGAAGAGAGGAAGTCGACCACGTTGTAGACACGGTCTTCGTCACGCTAGGCGGAAACAACTCACTGAGTGCACACATCTCCAAGCTCTGCCGTCGTCTGAGAATCCCAGTCAATGTGTCAGATGCTCCGGAACTCTGCACCTTCAGCTTGCTGTCTACGTATTCGGACGGCCCTCTTCATATCGGCATCACGACATCAGGACGCGGCTGTAAGCTGGCATCGCGACTTCGGAGAGAAATATCCTCGGGTCTTCCATCAAATCTCGGAAGTGCCATTGACAGGCTTGGTGCAGTGAGAAAGCGCCTTTGGGCCGAGGATTATGCTGCTGGACTATGTGATGCACCGCTAGAGGGTGACGAGGATGATGCAACTGGCCAACGGCATACATTCAACACGTTGGTAACAGAAGACGACATCTCTGCAGCCAAAACCCGCCGCATGCGCTGGCTGTCCCAAATCTGTGAATATTGGCCCCTTCGCAAACTGGCTGCTATCACGGATGAAGACATCAACGCCATCCTCGAGGCTTACTCGTCTAGCAAGGATGGACTCAAAGATATCAACAGCCCAGAACCTTTGTCAAAGAAGGGCAAGATTGTTCTTGCCGGTTCTGGCCCAGGACACCCCGATCTACTCACACGCGCAACATACAACGCCATCCAGGCTGCCGACATCATCCTGGCCGATAAACTCGTCCCAGCACCTGTTCTAGAACTCATCCCCCGCAGGACAGAGGTCCACATCGCGCGAAAGTTCCCAGGCAACGCAGACCAGGCCCAGGAGGAATTCTTGAAGATGGGCCTAGACTCCCTGCATCGAGGAAGATACGTCCTCCGACTGAAGCAGGGCGACCCCTATCTCTACGGCCGCGGAGGCGAAGAATTTGAATTTTTCCGAGGCGAAGGCTACAAACCCGTAGTCCTCCCCGGTATCACCAGTGCACTGAGCGCGCCCCTCTTCGCAGACATTCCAGCTACGCACCGAGGCGTGTCCGACCAAGTCCTGGTTTGCACAGGCACAGGCCGCAAAGGCGCAGCCCCAGAGCCTCCTACTTACGTTCCTACACAAACCGTTGTCTTCCTAATGGCCCTGCACCGTCTGTCCGCGCTCATAGAATCCTTGACTACGCAGCCAGCAGAGGGTACCCGTCCACGGACCCCATGGCCCAAAGACACTCCTTGCGCAATCATTGAGAGAGCCTCCTGCACAGACCAACGCGTCATCCGGTCTACTCTGGAGCACGTAAGTGCTGCCTTTGAAGCCGAGGGCTCGAGACCTCCTGGCCTGTTGGTTGTCGGCGCGAGTTGCCATGTTCTACATCCCGCTCAGGGACAGAAATGGGCCGTGGAAGAAGGATTCCGTGGATTGGATGAGTTGCTTACGGAGGTTACGGCTTGCCAGAATGAATGAGTGAGAGAAATAGGGAGACTTTATGATTGTTACGTTACGGATGATGTTCGCTTCGGATCTGGATCTGGATCTGGATTTTTGTTACATAGATACCCATACACCAAATAGACGAAAGAAAACATTTTCGGTCACTTGATCTACTTATTGTATGTGCTATAGTCGTTTTGTTATTGACCGTTACTCTTGTTTTTAAGCGAAAGTTTCAAGACTTGATCTTGATGTAGGACCGACACGTGCCAAGTGCAGGAACGGTTGACTGTAGCTAACGAGCCAGGTAGCGGTTCCCACATAGCTTCCTGCTCAACTAATCACCTTGATAACACGACGAGAAAGTACCTGGGCGATCTTCTCCCGTCGAGCGTTCATCTGTGCCAACTTGGCCCGTTGGATCTTCCCGCTCGCGGTCCGAGGAATCTCGGTGACAAACACCACACCTCCATCTAAAGCCTTGTAGCCTGCTAATTGGGATTTCGCGAATTGGTAAACTTCATCTGCAGTCAGGTCGGTGTTGAAGGCCGATGATTTTACCACGAAGGCTCGGGGGAGTTCGGTGCTCTTGTCGCTGGATTGGACTCCGAGGACAGCGGCATCGGATATTCCTGGGTGCTTGGAAAGGATGGCTTCTATCTCAGCGGGAGCTACTTGATTCCTGGGGAATATCGCAGGAAGGGCTCTGTTGAATGAAGGGTTGGGGGTTTACTTGCCCTTGTACTTTGATGAGTTCTTTGGCCCTGCCGAACAGGTAGTAGTATTCGTTTTGTCGGTAGGCCACGTCCCCTGTGCGAAACCATCCTTCTGCGTCGATCCCGTCATCTCGTCCCTTGTAATTTGAGAATAGCCCTGTACCTCGTACGTATAGCTCGCCGGGGCAGTTGTCGCTGGTTATCATTATGCCTTCGTCGTCGAAGAGTCTCGCCTCGTTTATCCCGACGAGCTTTCCGATACTTGCTTTATCGACGCGTTCTCCATACCTGCATATAAGTACTGGGCCAGTCTCTGTCATGCCCCAGCTTTGCGCGGCAGTAGCCTGGGCGTGTAGTAATGCCTGGAATTTCTGCAACGATCCCGTGTCGATAGGTGCACCTGAGACGCCTACCATGCGCAGAGATGAAAGGAGCTCCGCCACAGGCCGAGAGGACTGAAGCGAGAGATGGACCACTGCTGGCACAATAAACACGTCTGTAATTTTGTTACTGTGAACAGCAGTGAGAAAGTGATTAATTTCAAACTTTTGCAAGAAGTACGCCGGCTCTCCTTGACGAATCGGGAATGTGTGCCAGAGTGCCCCGAAGCGATGGTATACTGGGACAACAACTAGTCTCTTGACATCGTATGGAAGCTCATAATACATATTCAATTTCTCGGAGACAACGGCATAGTGCGAGACGATGGCGGCTTTTGGAAGCCCACTGGTGCCGCTGGTGCAATACATACCTGCCGGTGTGGTTTTAGCCAGAGCTTCGTCATCGAATTTGATCCAATCCTCTTCGCCGCAGGAGAGAAGATCATATAATGTGATGGTTTCAGCATTTTCGCGACGATCACTGGGGCTTGGCTCTAGAAAGCTAGTGATGGCCATTTCTTCATATAGGCAGATTTGCTCCGGACCGAGGCCTTTGCTGGCTGCAACGCTCTGGACAGCATGAAGCGTCTGGCTTGCCGTAATAATAAGCCTTGGTCTCCCCAGCTCAAGAACATTGGCTAGCTCATGAGGTGGGCTGTCGGGACTGGCACCCATGTAAACGCCCCCGGCTCCTATTATGCCGAAAAAGAGGGCTGGGTGAACATACTAAGGACATTTAATCATTTCCAGTCATTGTTGAACTAGACGTTGCCTGTGGGTTCTACCTACGTTATTGCCCAGATGAACCAGCACACACTCTCCTTGCTTGATATGCCGCCTGAGACCTGCGATCAGAGCCCGCACTAATTGACGGAGTTGAATAGCATTTAGACTGCGCAATGGGTTTCTCGCATCAATGTAGAGTGGCTGGCTCTCGTCATACTCAACCGAGCGATCGAAGGCAAAGGACAACACGTCCTTGTACACAGCTGGAATGTTCATCATACTGAAAACACAGCTAGGCTCAAGAGTAACAGAATGGCAATTATTAGGTATGTCCGAGGTAAGATTCTTTGGTGTCGTTTCGGGAGGGTGCCTGAACCACGAGCAGACATGAACCCCGTCCTCAGCTTATTCGGCCCAAATCGCATCAGTCCGGATACGTAACCTGCAGGAGGAAGCCAGTTCCATTGGCAAATTGGAGCATGCAGCATGCAGCAGTAGCGCGTCCGTACTACCTCGCCAGGAAGGGTGCTGTAGGCATGATTAAATCACGAGGCTAGGCGGCCTGAACGCCTGTCAAAATGCAGCTACGCAGCTGGGGGTATGGATTTTCCAGATCCTGTAATTGGGTACAGCAAAAACGGAAGAGCGTTAAGTTTCCTCCATATCATTAGTTGCATGGCAAGCGCCTGAGTCGAATTGACTTGTTCGTTGTGACGGTGATCTAATCTGAACCCGATGCAGATAAGTCGCGCAGCTAGCTTATCTAGCGGCGGGGGCCTCGAATTCTACCGAGTTCCATAAACGAGGCTCCTGCCAGTGCGCATGGAGACATGCTATGTTTTCCAAAACACCCTGAGATCTCTTTCGGGTGACGATAGGAAATAACCTTAAATCATTGACAATTGGAGTTCTCTTCGCTTTATGGGCGTACACGCCTAATGTGAAGGGAATATCCGTGCTCTTAACCGGTCTGAGACATGCATATGTCGGGGTAATTTAGGCGACTCCGATGACGGCGATGAACCAACCGAAGGCCAGAATGAGGTACCAAGCCTAGACTGGTCTTACCTCCGACTGGGCGCAATTATGCAGCTGCAACACGAGCATCAGTCCCTCCAATGGGAGTTCCCAAGCCAAACCCAGTGAATGCCTTTGTATCGAGCCGGCCGAGAGGAAGTGCTGATTACGGCGCCCTGCCTTGTTCGCTTCACCCCAAATAATGGCTGGACATATGGCACCCTGCAGGTGACCCACTGGTGCAACGTTCGTTCTCCAAGGTCTATCGACTAAGAGATGAGGATGATGGTATTCAAGGAGGCGGCTTGCATGCCGAGTGACAGGTTCAGAACCTGCATCCCCAAACCCCACCTGCATTGTCTCAACAAGGACGTCCCTTAGTTAGGAGGCGTCTGCCTTGTCTGCATGAGAAAGGGTACCAAGAACTGCACCATTCTGACATTAGCGCTGTTGGTTCTCGTAAAGTACACTTGCTCAGAAGCAAGGCCACCAAAGCCACCAAGTTAGACCAATACTAATTGAATACAAGCACGCCACGAGAAATCAGATAAAGCGGGAGGTAGTTGAAGTGCATAAGAAGGAAAGGAGACCTGCAGTCCGTCTCGGTCATCTGACCTGGTGGCCTTTTCTTAATCACTCTATTCTGATTTCTCTCCCTCTCCCTCTTTTTCCTTATTCTTCATGTCAGTCCCTGAACCCATCGCAATTATTGGGACAGGATGCAGATTCCCTGGCTCTGCATCCTCCCCGACTAGGCTCTGGGACCTTCTGCTCCATCCGCGCAATGTAGCTTCTAAGGCACCCAGTGATCGCTTCAACCATGATGCCTTCTACCATCCTGATGAACATCATGGAACAGGAAACTCCCCTGAATCCTATTTCCTTACTGAGGACCCCCGCGCATTCGACGCGTCATTTTTCAATATCTCCCGTACTGAAGCAGAGTCGATGGACCCTCAGCAACGTCTGCTATTGGAGGTCGTCCACGAGTCGTTGGAAACAGCAGGCTTACCACTGGAAAGCCTGCGAGGATCTGATACGGGAGTATTTTGTGGCCTCATGAGTACGGATTATGCCAATCTGATCAGCCGGGACTGGGATGAAGTTCCCATGTATACCCCATCTGGAACGGCAGCGTCTATGCTTGCCAACCGTATTTCCTTCTTTTTTGACTGGCACGGTCCATCCATGACAATAGACACCGCATGCTCTTCAAGCTTGGTGGCCCTTCACCAAGGTGTAAGTGCTCTGCGAAACCAGGACTGTCACATGGCTCTGGTGGCTGCTAGCAACCTGATCTTCAGCCCCCGCGAGTATATTGCCGCTTCCAAGATGCACTTACTCTCGCCTACCGGACGGTGTCGTATGTGGGACGAGGGTGCGGATGGTTATGCACGGGGTGAGGGTATTGCTTCCCTGGTCTTGAAACGCCTCAGCGATGCTATTGCGGATGGGGATCCTATTGAATGTATCGTCCGCGCTACAGGAGTCAACGCTGATGGACGCAGTATGGGGATTACCATGCCGTCTAGCATTGCCCAATCAAAGTTAATCCGCTCCACGTATGCCAGCGTGGGGTTAAATCCGGCAGATCATCTCGAAGACCGGTGCCAGTTTTTCGAGGCCCATGGCACCGGTACGCAGGCTGGAGATCCCCAAGAGGCCACTGCTATCTATAATGCCTTTTTTGGGGACTCACAATTGCCTGAAAAGTCTACCCAAGAGCCCTTGTACGTGGGGTCAATAAAGACCCTCATTGGCCATACAGAAGGCGTAGCAGGGCTAGCGGGAGTTATAAAGGCCTCTCTATGCGTCCAGAAAGGCATTATACCTCCGAACATGCTATTAGAGCGCATAAACCCAGTTATTGCACCTCTGACTTCTCAACTCCGCATACCAACTGAGCCATTGTTATGGCCCAGCCTTGCCCCAGGTGTCCCTCGCCGGGTTTCGGTCAACTCGTTTGGCTTCGGTGGAAGTAATGCACATGCAATAATTGAGAGCTATATCCCTCCAACTAAGCTGACGCTAGGGCATAGCTTGTGCCCTCAAATACTTCCATTCGTCTTCTCTGCATGCACAGAGAAAACCCTGGTAGATGTTCTAGAATGCTATGACCGATTTCTCCAAGAGCATCCAGACATCGATTTGGTGACCCTGGCCGAGTCGCTACTAAAGCGACGCTCAGCATTCAACCACCGTGTTGTTATTACAGCAGCCTCAATCGAGGCACTCCGAACCGAAATCCAGATAGAGCTGGAGAAGCAGGGGTCGGCAAGAGCAGCTTCTCCAGGTATTATGTCACGGCCCAGCAATGCTCCAAAACGAATACTGGGTATATTTACCGGACAAGGCGCACAGTATCCGCAGATGTTTTGGGACCTGATTGCGGCCAGTCCACAGGCCATGGTCTGGATGGCAGAGCTCCAAGAGTCATTAGATAGTCTTCCACCGGAGTACCGTCCAGACTTTTCGATGGTTCAGGAGCTCTCAGCTCCCGAGTCATCCTCAAGGATCCGCGAAGCATTTGTGTCACAGCCACTCCGCACAGCTGTGCAAATAATACAGGTGAACTTTTTACGGGCTCTGGGTGTGAGTTTTTCCACTGTCGTGGGACACTCCTCAGGCGAAATTGCGGCTGCTTATGCTGCTGGCGCAATCAGCGCAGCAGACGCCATCAGAATTGCATATCTGCGAGGCCTGGTAGCTAAGCAGGCTGTTTCAAAAGGCAAGCCTGGATCCATGCTAGCTAGTGGGATCCCCTGGGAAGAAGCACATGCACTTTGCTCTGAAGGTGGCTTCAGCGAGACAGTTAAGATTGCTGCGGTTAACTCTCCGGTAAGTGTCACGTTTTCTGGGGATACACACGCAATACAGGAGCTTGAATGGATGTTACAAAGCCTAGACCTCACGGTGCATCGCCTTCATGTGGACATAGCCTATCATTCCCACCATATGATACCGTGTGCTGCACCATATCTGCATGCTCTCGAGGCCTGTGGGATTCGGGCAAATCCTACGACAACTAAGTGGTTTTCTAGCGTATATAAGGAAACAAAGGTGGACACAGAAGATATAAATCCACAATACTGGTGCCAAAATATGCTTCGTCCCGTGCTTTTCTCTCAAGCAGTGACCGCAGCTTTCGCAGACAATCCTAAATTTGATTTAGTGATTGAGGTTGGCCCGCATCCCACGCTCAAAGCACCATTCTTGCAGACCATTTCTGAGATGAAGGATGTAGGTCCAGAGGCTACCTATCTTGGTCTGGCTGAACGTGGTGGCAACAGTACGGAGGTATTTGCTCGCGCTATTGGCTCACTCTGGGCACAGATGGGAGCAAGAATCGACATCCAACGTTATCTGTCATTGTTCGATCATTCATATGGAAGCCGTTTCGTTAAACACCTACCCACATATCCTTTTGACAAGTCCCGAGCTTATTGGACGCTGTCTCGCCATACTAAAGCGCGTCTATATCACTCTGATCTCCCACACCCTCTTTTGGGGACTCTCAGCCCTGAAACAGGCGAGGACGAATGGCGCTGGCGCAACTACCTAAGCCGGACAGAACTCGATTGGCTCAATAACCATCAGGTTCAGTCTCAGGCCGTCTTCCCTGCGGCCGGGTACATATCAATGGCATTGGAAGCAGCTGCAAAATTTGCACGCGGCCAACCTCTGCGGTTGGTGGAGTTCGATAATGTGCGCATCCACTGTGCTGTCCCTATTCCTGACGACCCGCGGGGAGTAGAGATCATCTCGAAAGTCGTCATTGTGAAATCCGAAAACAATGTCATTGTCGCGGCCTTTCAATGTTACGCTAGCGTTGCCGAGAAACTGAAGACGTGCGCCTCCGGGAAACTAACTCTGTCATTGGGGGAACAAGATGTTATGTTGTTGCCTCCTAGATCGTCTATATCAGCGCTATCTCAGTCGGTGGAAATCTCTGCATTCTACGCATCTCTAGAAAGGCTTGGGCTTGGTTACAGCGGTCCCTTCCAGGGGCTGAAGGCTCTCACTAGACAAGCGGATGGGTCGACGGGCATAATTTCAGGGACCGACCTGAGCTCATCTTTGCTTCTGCATCCAGCGATCATAGACTCCAGCTTGCAGGTCTTGTTAGCAGCGAAGAACATCGAAGAAGTCCATACACTACATGTTCCTGTGTCCATTGAGCACATCGCAATTAACCCGCAGTTGTGCAAGCACAGCTCAAGGGAGGCCATGACTGAGCTTGCTGTCGAAGCTTTTCTCGACGATGGTAGTTCAGATGGCATGACAGGAGATATTAACGCATTCGACCTTGACGGCCACGGTGTCTACCAGATCGAGGGCTTTTATGTCGCTCCACTTTCATCTCCTGAGGATCGTGCTATTTTTTCTAAGATTGTCTGGGGCCCGCTGCTGCCACAAACTGTTCTCCCAAGTGTATGTCGGGATTCTCAAAACAAAGAAGAGCTTCAGTGGGCGGAACGCTGCGCTCTTCTGTACATAAGAGATGCACGGGAGCAGCTATTTGCCGAAAAATGTACAAGTCTTGACCAACATCGATCTAGCGTTGTGGAATGGATGGATCATATTCTATCCACAACACGCGAAGGCACTCACCCGGTATGTCATCCAGATTGGCTAGACGGCACTCTGGAGGATGCTCTTGACATTGCTATGAGCATGGTACTCATAGATAGCACTTACTGGACTTCGCTTCGAATAGCCGGTGAATATTTATCGGATTTCCTCAGAGGGGGAAGCGAGATAACTGAGCTTCCGTACCAGGAAGGTCATATGAATTGGGTATATAAGGATCCCTTTGAAAACAACTTCAGCCGTTCAGAGCTTGCAGTGCTCGTTGACCAGATTGCTTTTCGCTACCCTCACATGAATATCCTCGAGCTTAATGCAGGAAGGGGTTCGGCCACGGAATCAATTATGAAGGTAATCAAGCGTTCATATCAATCTTACACTTTCACTGATACGACTACCACATCCTTTGCGGCGGCACAAGAAAGCCTTGCTCAACATGGAGACAGAATAGTCTACCAAGTGCTTGATATCATGTCACATCCCTTCGAGCAAGGCTTCAAGGAGCACTCATATGACCTTATTGTCGCAGCTGATATGATGTGGTGCGCTGAAAGCTTAATGCAAGCTCTGGCAAACGTTCGACGCCTGCTCAAACCTGGTGGGTATTTGGTCGTTCGCACCAACACTAATACAAGTGTAACCCGCTTTGGGTTGGTAGTCAGCTCATTCAAGAAGTGGTGGTCTGATGAGAATGGCGACCCTCATAGTCCGGTGATTAGCCTACAGAAATGGGATCTGCTGCTTAGGATGACTGGTTTTGGTGGACTCGAAGCGCTATCATCAGCTGGTCAGTTTGGCTACGCGTCTACCTTTGTCACACAGGCGATCGACGATCGTATTCGGCTACTCCGCGAGCCTGGGGATTTCCCGGAGACACTGTCAGATAACCTACTCCTCATCGGCGGAGCGACGGGAGCAACATCTAAAATAATATCGGCCCTAGAAGCATTGCTCAGGCCGTGGTTCCGTCAACTAGTTTCTATACAGAGCCTCGATGTACTGGACCTGGATGACACATATGGCTGGTGCGTCTTGAACCTCACTGATATAGACTCGCCTTGCTACGAGAATATCACAGCCCAATGTCTCAGCAGCCTCAAGGTGGTTATGAATAGCGCCAGTAGGCTTCTTTGGGTGACGAGTGGCCCGGAGAGTGTACAGCCCTATTTCAGCATGAGTAAGGCCACAGTTCACTGCCTCGCCTATGAGAATCCCCAGTCCATATTTCAGTATCTAAATATACCGGATAGTCAAGAGACCACTGCGCCTACTCTGGCCAAGATTTTCATGCAGTTGGTCCATACGCCTAAGGACAATAACGATGGCCTGGACGTCTGCCTGCATAGCACAGAATTCGAGTTACGGCTTGTGAATGGTGTGCTGAAAATCCCACGAATCCAGCTTGATGATTCCAGGAATAAGCGGTATTTTGCAAACCATCGCAGAGTCAACGGCCTGATTAATCTGCAAAATTCCAGGGTAGATATTGTTGCCCCATCAGCCAGACGCAGTGAGTTCATTCTATGCAAAAGCCTTCGATCCAGGCAAGAAAAATATTGCAGTGGTGCAACCCATCGTCGGCTTATCGTGCGTTATTCAACAATAACCGCCTATAAGGTGGAAGGTGCTGGCTTTCTGCATTTGGTCATCGGTCGAGATGAAAACGACAATACACGTTGGCTGGCACTATCCGATCAACACGAGTCAGCTATTGCGGCACCGCTCAACTGGTGCTGGCGGCTCCCTGACAGCGTTCCTGAGGGTCTAGAAGCTACTTTTTTGATGCGAACAGCTGCTGCCCTGTTGGCCACATCCATTGTTGACAAGGGGCGCCCCAACACATATATCATGCTCTATAAGACTGAAGGTTTATGCAAGGCCGTGTGTGATGCTGTCTCGGCCTTTGCTCTTGCACGAACTATTCGGGTATTGTTTGGGACCAGTGTTCAAGCCACAGTGCCGCAAAATGATGTGTTGTATATTCATGAGAGGAGCTCTTCTCGCACTTTATCTCGCCTTTTACCAAAAGAGATTTCCGTCCTTGTCGGCTGTACGCCAAGCGCAAGCAGTGCTTACGATCGAATTTTATCTCTCCTGCCCGAGGATGTTGTGCAAGTTGATGTCTCTAGTATGGGTAGGACATCGTCAAAGTTATTGCGGCCTGCTAGTCCGATCACAGTTGGGCAAACACTCTTTGCAGCCTGCGGGTTTGCGCTGCAAACTGCTACCTTGCAGCAGGAAATTCATCTTATTCCTGTCCAAAATTTGCTGGGTACTTCACCGGGAACAAATCAGCTGGAGATTGTGGACTGGACTCAGCCAGGCCAAGTCCCTATTCAAATCCAGACAGCAAGCTCTATGGTCTCATTATCCGCACGTAAAGCATACTTGCTCGTCGGGATGACTGGTGACCTTGGGAGATCTGTCTGCCAATGGATGATAAGGAGAGGAGCACGAACTGTGGTCCTTGGCAGTCGAAACCCCAATGTTGACGCGCAGTGGATTGAGGAGATGGCAAGGCTGGGTGCTCGAGTTGTTCCAATGAAAATGTGAGTGCCTACGCTGTCAGTAAGTTGAGACCATTTACTGATACTTCTTGAATAGTGATGTAACCAACCGAGAATCCGTGTCTCGTGCCTATGCTTCCATACGTGGATCACTGCCTCCAATTGGAGGAGTTGCCAACGGAGCAATGGTGCTCAAGGACTGCCTATTTGCTCAAGCTTCGCTAGAGGATATGCAGAGCGTCATGGCCCCAAAGGTTCAAGGGAGTGTTATTCTGAGCGAGGTGTTCGGTGGCCTGGATCTCGAATTCTTTATTCTCTTTGGATCAGCCGCTGGACCGCTGGGCAATATTGGTCAGACAGCCTATTCAGCGGCTACTGAATTCATGTCGGCGCTTATCAAACAGCGGAACGAGCAAGGTCTAGTGGGCAGTATTATCCATCCGGGACTAATCAAAGGGATAGGATATTTCGCAAGAGCAGATAGTGCAGTTCAGAACATGATTGAGCGGAACACTGGTGCCTCAAACTTCACTGAAGAGGATCTGCATGAGCTCTTCGCAGAGGGTATACTTGCAGGCCATCCAGGTTCCAGCAGTGACCCTGAGGTGATTGCTGGATACCAGGTCATAAATGCTGCAGAGAATCCTAGCGCGTTGTGGTTGCGAAATCCCAAGGCGTGGAATCTCATTAGCCATGCGGCTAACCCGACCATATCTGCATCCGGCACTAACGACAAGATTCCGATAAGAACGCAACTCGAGCTGGCAAAGAGCATTGTTGAAGCCACAGGCATTATCACCGATGGCTTTATCAAGGAAGTGCGCTCTAGACTGCAACTGTCCGCTGAGGAATCGCTCACTGGAGCATCTGGATTGACTGACTTGGGGGTAGACTCTCTCGTGGCTATCGAGCTACGGCATTGGTTTGTTAGAGAGTTGTCTGTTGACCTCCCTGTGCTGCAGATCATCGGAGGATCATCCATCCAAGAGCTGGCTAGTACCGCTGCATCGAAGCTTTCAATGAATTTCACGCCGGACATTGGGACGGAAGGGGTGCCAACGAGCGGTACTGATGCTTGACTCGTTTGTGATACTCGCTGTGCAGTCTGCGACATATAGTCACTTCACCTGTATCCCCCAGTATTTCAATTGATATGTCATCTTCATCTATATGTAGTAGTCGCTTCAGCCATGGAGCAAGTTCAACAATGAAAAGCAACTATACAAACATTCCACTTTGTATAAAAGCTGATGTCATCCAAGGGTCTCGATGCGCTAGACCTAAGCAGGAAATATTCCGTCCCTCATAACGGCGCTAAACTACATCCAGCAAGCTCGTTATCTGGCGCATCGCATCGCCTCTCATCTTCTTCCTGTACCAACATCCATCTCGCTTCTCACTCAACTAGCCAGACATTATCATGTCATCCGAACCCAAGACCTACGTATCCGGGGGACGCGTTCTCGCAAGGTAATTTCCAGTCCATGATACCCCTTCACCCCCTGCAAACAACATAACTAACAGTCGCACCCTCCTTCCAGTCCCCCCATCACGGTCCGAATCATCCGCTTCGTCGAGAACATCTACCTCTTCCTTGGACTGTACTTTGTCAGCCTATTCTCGGTATGTTCTACATCTGCATTCATACTTCTAGCAGGGGCTTTATCCATCTGAATCATATACTAACGGGTATATGTTTGGTCTAGCTGGATCCCTACACCGCGGCACAGAACTCCCGATTCAACGTTACTCGGTCAGGAAAGACCCCCGATACCCGTGCTCGCTGGGGCAGTGGAGGCGGAGGTGGAGGCGGATCATGGGGTCCAGGAGGTGGTGGTGGGCCGGGAGGACCTGGTAGGAGAATCGGTCGGGTAGATGATATCCGTGGCCCGGAATGTAAGAGCTGTGGTTAATGCTGGGAATGTGATACTGAAGAGGGACTTGGAAAACAATATATGGTGGACTGAATGGATGGGAGTTTGATAGGGCGCTTTATTGATTGTATTAGGGACTGAACAACGGAATGGACTTGTGAATGGTTTTCTTATGATAGATGAGATGTGTAGGGAGTAGATCTGGCTTATGGAAGGGTCAACTGCGATAATATGCGTAATCGTAAGTTGTGATGGTTTCAGAGAGAGGTATTTCCCCAATCAAGCGGTGATCAGCGACGCCTTTGATTCTCATCGGTGGTTCATCTTTCATGCAGATTGGGGAAAGGCAATGCCCCGCAAAAGAGGGGCGGGGGCCGGGAAATCATCTGAGCTTCAGTGCCTTCCAGACCCAACATTTTCTCTAGATCTATCTCCATCAGCACAAGGAGTCCGTTGCATATCGGCTCCTGTGATTGTCCATACAGTACCAAAGCTATCCACAAGGGCACAAGCGTCATATCCTCCATCACACCATGGCTACACCACAAACTGACGCCGAATGGGCGACGCTGATCTCCAGCATCCAACAGTCCCTCCCAACGAACTTCCCTTCATATGACGTTTCGTCTGAAATCAATCGCACCATAGACCATACTCAGCTAGCGTTGACAGCGACAGAGCAACAGATCGATGATCTGTGTCAAGAAGCCATCCAGCACCGATTCGCGACGGTCTGCGTCCGACTGAACCATGTGTCTCGAGCAGTCCAGAACCTGCAAGAACACCCGGCTGTCGGCGTAGCCTGTGTTGTTGGGTTTCACGAGGGAACTTATAAGACAGACGAGAAGACAGCTGAGGTGAAAGAGGCAGTGAGTCTAGGAGCGTCTGAGCTCGACATGGTCCTTAATTACCCTCTTCTACAAGCGGGGAAGTACATGGATGTCTACACGGACGTGCTAGAAGTGCGCAAAGCAGCCCCGGCACCAGTTGGATTGAAGGTTATCTTGGAAACCTCCCAGTTGAGCCGCGAGCAGATCATAGCGGGTTCGGTGCTGGCGTGTGTAGCTGGAGCAGATTATATCAAGACTAGTACTGGATTCAACGGACCCGGGGCGAGCCTGGAGAACGTAACTCTTATGCGAGCGACGGCAAATCTGGTTGGCAAGGGCACCAAGGTCAAGGCCAGTGGTGGCGTACGTTCGGCAGAGGATTGTCGCAAGATGTTGCAAGCAGGAGCGGCGCGTATTGGGAGCAGTTCCGGAGTGAAGATCATGCAGGAGGAGAAGACGGGAGTTGCAAGTAGTGTCAGTAGTAGTGGTTATTAGACGGAAAATGTATCCGAAATTCTGGTCAGGTTTCTGGGAATGTCTTTCATTAAGGAGCGCCTATACTTGCTAAAGTACTGAATGCCTCGTCAGGAAGTTGACTTAAACGTTGGTGGAGACGGTGGAGCTCAACGTCATCGTCAGGAAGTGTGATCGGTCAACCAAAAGCCTTCGAACTAATCCACTGTTTGCTTGTTTGGGCCATCCCCTGCTCCACGAAAGGATCTTGTGTCTTGTCAAATGAAGAAGCGTTCGTCCCTGAAAGTTTCTTCTTCGTCCTCCACTTCCCCTTCTCGCCCATCTGCATCGCCTTCTTCCCGCCGCCCTGAAATGCGCCGTCCCAACTATAAGGTATGTCGATGACAGCTTGTACCTCCTTGTAATAGCAGTCGGCATCTGAAGTGAGAAAAATGTGGTACATAGAGACGCAAGACTACCCACGAAGATAGTCCTCCTTCGCACCACAATGGCACAACCGATCCCCTGTTCACCGAGAAGCCCTCAGCCGTCTTCACCCCCAAGGGTGGCCGATCGCATACACTCAGCGTTGCCATTCCGGGCAGCATCATAGACAAGTAAACCCCCTTTGACAAATGATTCCCAAGGGCTGCTGGTGTATATGGCCGCTAACAGATGCTGCGCAGCGCTCATTCCGTCGAGCAAAAGACCTTCCTAGCCGGTGTAATCGCACGCGCCCTTGCCGTATTCTGCGTCGATGAAGTTGTGGTGTTTGACGATAATGAATATGGCGCCCATTGTGATTATTATGACCATAGAGTCTCCTATGACTCACCCATTGCCAAAACTAGAGACCAAGTTGATGGCGATACATCCTCTCCAAAAGCATATACCGCGAATTCAGACCCCTCGCACTTCCTGACTCACGTCCTGTCGTATCTTGAGACTCCACCATATTTGCGCAAGCATCTCTTCCGCATCCATCCCAATCTTCGCACCGCTGGATTGCTGCCCAGCTTGGACATGCCTCATCACTTGCGTGCCAACGAGTGGTGCGACTTCCGTGAAGGCATTGTCGTTCCTAGTTCAGCGCGGAAAAGTAACCCGGCCAGCAAGATCACTCAGATGAGCAAAGATCATCCTTTCCACCGTCGTAATAGCTCTACTAATAATGGCCCTGCCACAATTGTTGACACGGGTCTCTCACAGAAGATAGTTCTCCCAAACATCCACCTCCCAGAACATGCCCGAGTCACTGTTCGATTTCTCCAGCATGAGTTCCCCTATGCAGAACCCGTACACCCATCCACCCCTCGTGCCGAAGCAGGTTATTACTGGGGCTACTATGTGCGACGATGTCGATCTCTCTCTTCCGTTTTCACGGAATGTCCCTATGACGGTGGCTACGATCTGTCCTTCGGCACGTCCGAGCGTGGTGTGCCTGTCTCCGCAGTGCTAGAGGAGAAGCCACAACAAGCACATGATCGCTACAAGCAAGGCCACTCCTTTTGTCGGGATCAAATATCGCCAGACTTCCAGCATATCCTTGTCGTCTTCGGTGGTGTCGCTGGGATTGAGGCAGCCGTCCGGAACGATCCTCAACTCCGTGACATGGCCATCCGCCCATCCGATGCTGGCAAGCTCTTCGACTACTGGGTAAATTTCCTACCCGGACAGGGAAGCAGAACCATCCGCACTGAAGAAGCCGTTTGGATGGGGCTAACGAGTCTCCAAGGCCTGCTTGATGGCACCCATCGGTTGAGAAAGGCATACCGATGTGATCACGACGGTTAAGTTTTTCACCTCCAGTGACAGGTGCTCAATCCAGGTGAGAGACGAAATCCTTGTCTTTCATCTGTCTGCCTTTTACTTCTCTACCCACCGTTTCTAGTTTGCAACCTCCACGACCACCGCCGCCGCCACTGTCTGGAACGGGCGTGCTGGATTCCCCATTCACAGCCCTAAAGCACAGAACACGACCACGACCATGACATTGGCAAAATACCAAACTCAAAGCCCATATCTGCCAAGCCAACGAACCTTGTCCGCAGTAATCTTATCAACCTCCAAACGAAAACTAAATTCCCAAATTCCTAGCGATTACGAACCAGCCTAAGCTCCCCCGACTCCTAAGGAATGAAGCAAAGCAAATCATATCCTTATTCCCGTATTACATACTTTCTCTGCTTTTCCCACAAAAAAAAATATCTAGTAGGTCTTTAACAATTAATTATTAGA